TAGATAGATAGATAGATAGATAGATATAGATGGACGATAGATAGATAGATAGATAGATAGATAGATAGATAGATAGATAGATAGATAGATATAGATGGAAGATAGATAGATAGATAGATAGATAGATAGATAGATAGATAGATAGATAGACAGACAGACAGACAGACAGACAGACAGACAGACAGACAGACTTTCTGTCTGTCATCAACCTAACTACCTAGGGGGAATTATCTATTTGTTTATCTATCCTAAATCTATATGTATTTATCTATGTACCCGAACACATTCAACATGTATTGAAAATGTGGGCAGAGAAGGGGTACTAGGCACTTACTTCATTTCCTTTCTGTTTGATGTGGAAGAAAGGGGATTTTTGCAAGAACGTGAATGGGAGTCAACTGCTCTGGAAACACTGGGATTTAACTTCTGAGTAAGCATGCAGAGGAATGTGCTGTCAGAGGTATTTTCCAATGCTCAGAGCTGTGAGAGAGAAGAGACGCTGAGCTGCAGGATTTGTGGTTTATATTAGAAGAGAATCTCTCATCATTCCATAAAGAAGCAGTGGAGAACTTGTGATCTCTCCGTTCTTACTGAGTTAAAACTTCCAGCTGCTTCCTCCAGTAGGTAGAATTGCAGTCCTCCAACATTGGGGGCCCATTCCTATGAAAAATTGCACAGGCAGGAGAAAAAAATAGATGTGGCAGATCTTTCTGACCTTCAGTAGCTCTGAGATAATGAGGGAGTCACTCTCAAAATGCAGCATGAATCAGCAAAAGGTCACTTCTCTTGGATGGGAAAGAAGGTCATAGATGCCTTCAGTTCTTATCCTTGTTAAAGTCTGTTGTCTTCTTATCATGTCCACTACTATGGACAACACCATGGGCAATGGGGAAACAGGGTTGCCATGGTATGAGAGCCACTAGAGTAACTGAGATTTAACCTAACTATGTCAACAGGCAGTGCCAACCCAATGCAACTAGACGATGAAGTACTCACAGACTTTCTCTTCCTAGCCTCAAACATTCACAAGGATGGTGACTGTAGCCATGAAATAAACAAAACATCTGTTGCTAGGTGGGAGATGAAGACAGATGTAGACAAAGGATTAAAATACAGAGACATCTCACTGACAATGAAGGTAAATACTGTCAAGGCCATGGTTTCCCAGTTATAATATATGGGCTGCAAAATATGGATCATTAGAAAGGTTGGACAAAGAAAAATACCTTTGAATTGTGGTACTGGAGAAACGGGCTGGACACCTTGGACCAGAAGAGGCATCAAATCATTAACTTCATAATGAAGTAAAACTAGACTGCTGGCTGGAAGTACTAACAGTGAAGCTTACAGCTTAGATATTTCAGATACATAATACAAGGGCAAGTCATTAGAATAAACCCTGATGGTTGGAGAAATCAAAGCAGTCCAAAAAACAGCTGAGGGAGCAGGGTGGTTAGATGCTATCATGAATGACATAAAGATGGATTTGCAAGGACTCAAAGGAGCAGGTCCTACCTGATGGAATATATCTACAAAGAGGAGGGTGATGTGAGAGAGCAAGGCTATCAGGAAGGAGGGGGTGCATTCCAGGAAGGGAAAGAGACAAGAGACAACACATTCCGCAGGAGGAGCGTGGGAAGCAAAAGAGACTCAGGATAGCTACTCCCTAGAATCTCCCAGGGTATATCCACTAGTTGCATTAGTATACATTTAGTCTGGCAAGATTCTGTCTATATGGTGCAAGCAAATAAGGGAACTTTCCTCAACTGGACTGCTTCACCATTGTTCTTGGGCTGGGCCTGACACTACCAGACCATTCTGATCAAATGATCTCCATGGGGTCATAAAGTGCTAGAAACATTTTTAAAAACTGGTGCAGTAGATAGGTTTAATATATGTCACTGTTATTTCAGTCCAAATTAGGAAAGTGTCACCTCCACATGAAAGCTATGTGGTCTGGTAATAGTTGAACAAAAGTTATACCAAAATGAGCTTTTATTTTCAGTTTTGAGTTTGAGAATTTTATCTTTTGAAAACTGACTTCCTCTGCCCCAGGGTTGGGATTCCCCCACCCATCACAGCTTCCACTGGTAGGCAGTCTTACCCACACTTTTACTTTGCCTGCATCTTTTTAAGAGAGGAAAAGGTTAGTCCTGACTTTGCATGGAAACTTATAAAGCTTCAGAAGGAGAAAGAGAGATGTTGGGCAATTGAAGGCTTGAGCAGCCAAAAATGAGGTATGTATCTGTGATGTTCAAAATGATTTTTTCCCCTCTGGGGGGCTATAAGGTTATAATAAGATTTATGTTAAAGAGAGGACTGAAGGAGGGGACTGGATATCCGTAGTTCTAGGATCAGTAATACTTCGTTCTAGAATCTCTTACATTACTGGCATTCAGTCTAGAACCTTGGATGAGATAAATAAAGAATATCTCATCCTGGAGTTCAAAGTTCTTTCCTTCTTTCTCCACCTCCACCATGAACTAATATTGACGAATCTAGTTTTCAGGCCAGAGAACGTGTTGAATCAGGATGAATTAAAACTAGTGCAATGTAGCAGTTCAGCCAGGCTTTGCGTGACTTTTGAGCTGTGTATGCATTTTGAGCTTTGAGCTTTGTGTGTGTCTTTTGAACTGCAGATGTGAAACATGTGTGCAAATGTCATTAGGGGGCTCAGCTGCATTACAAGTGTGCCTTTTTACTTGTTAAGATGGACAGGAAACAGTAAAAGGCACTGTGGCACCTCAAAAACTAACACGTGGCCCCCAACCCGATTATATTTGGAACTGGGTTCCTTAAGGTTTAGAAAAGCACCTAAAA